CGATTTACATCGGTGAAAAACGTAACGTGCCAGAGCAGCAGCAGCAGCAGCAAAAGCCAGAGCCAGAGTCGGTGCTGATGCTGATGCTGATGCTGTTGGGAGTGCCGTGTAGCCTGTGGCAAGTGAAACAAAGAGAGAGAGGAAGACACAGCTGCAAAAGTACATAAACCCAGAAATGTCATGTTTATTTTCATTTCATAAGGAAATTGTCTGTCTATAGTTTTTGGCTCTAAGAGAAGAGAAGAGGAGAGAAGAGAAGGAGCAGAGGCAGGAGCAGCCTTGGGAGCACCTGAAAAACTTATCCAATCTTTTGGAATTGTCTTCTGGTTTTTTATGACCCTCGTCCGTTTGCCCCTTGCAGCTTCCCATTCACCCATTTGCCACGTGAAACATTTCGGAACGATTTATGTGCCGTAATTAGCATATGAAATGCGTTAAGTGCACCACAAATTGCACTTCTGGTTGGTCTGCCAATGATCTGGGATGATACTTTTATAACACTAATTGAATGTGAGAAGTATGTCAAGGGAGCTCTTAGCTGGGGAATGTCTTTGCACTTCAGAAACTTGCTTCAGATTTGTCTCTTTTGTTGCCTCACTCGATCTGCTTAAAGACCACTTGATGCTGCAGCTCTTCATTTATATTTTTGTGCTCTCAAAAGTCATTCACAAGATAAGCCTTCAACATGCTCGCCCGCTTTGACACTCGTATTTTTGCCTGTCGCTAAATGATATTTAAATTTCAATGGATTTAGCTTCATGTCATTGCTCCTGTTTGGCTCCCCATACGCTTATCTAATCACATCGTTAACATCAACACAAAATTCGCCCTGTCACTGAGCCCCCCCCCCCCGCCCTGGCTGTGCTCCTGGCCAATGCCAACCGTTTAATCATTTTGTCACGCATTGGCAACCACAAAAAAAACCACAAAACAATAAGGCAAATGGGGAGCAACAGCTGAAGCTTCTGCTGCGTTGGCGGGAATTAAATTTTAGCATATGTCATAAAGGCTTAGCCATGATTTATACGACAGGGGGGGCGGGAAAGGGGAGACAGCCGTCAAATGTCAGAGAGGGAGAGGAGAAATAAGTAAGAGCTAAAACGATTTATAGGGCAGAAGCAAAGGAGGTGCAGGCAGCAGCCAGGAACAGAAATCGCGGATCAGAAACAGATGCAGAAACAGAGCCATGACATGGCTACATTACTCCTACAGATAGAGGGAGGGAGAGAGGGAGAGAGAGAGAGAGAGATAGACAGGGAGAGAATCAGCTTCAGCTTCAGCTTTCGGTTTGGGTTTGGGTTTAGCCTTGGAAAATAGCCTCAAATATATTTACATTTTTAGTGTCTGGCTTACACTGAGAGAAAATAGAGACACAATTGAGAGCGGAAAGAGCTCCACGGTGCAGCAGAGAGCGGGGTTCTGCAATTTCTTGCAGTGTAGCTTGGGGGCTGAGGCTGTGTGCTTGTGTATAAATATTTATATATTGAAATGCAATACGAATCGAAGGGGTGGACTCCCAGGTCTTGCCGGGCTGGATTGGCGGCAATGACGAAATTGAATTTGCTGCAAAAGTTGCTCCGGATTCAGCAGCCACTGCATCCGCATCCGCATCCGCATCTTACGTACTCTTCCTGTCTACCATCTCTTTCTGCACTCTCTCTCTCTCACTCTCTTGTTGTGCTGTTTGTCGAATTTGAGCATGCGAAAATGCGATTTGAGCTCTTCTGCAGCTGCAGCAGGAGAACTTGTCCATGGCTCACCATTTTTCTACGAGTTGGAACAAATCGAAGGAGCTGTAGCAGTCGGAGCAGCAGCTTTAGCTGTGACAAATCTTTATGCAATGTTGCATGTCGTCTGATTTGCCATGATGACATGCTGATGGAATAAGCAGGGATAGGGACAGGGACAGGGACAGGGGAATGCGGATGCAGTGGCATGCACCTCGATGGGATGTCGATGTCTCTTTATCTCTGTGTCTATGTCTGTCTGCCATTGCCTTTGCCTCTATCCGTCTCTGACTGTGTCTCTGTGTCTCTCAGTGATTTGCTCAGTGAAGCGTTAAGCGCAAAAATTGGTAATGGCTGTGTGGCTCCGTGTGGCTCTGTGTGGCAGTTGTCTACTTCGTTTTTGGCAATCATTGCGCAGGTTTTATATTTTTGCGTCGGTTTGAAAAGGTTTTTTTGATTTGGCCAGCAGCAGCAGGCAGTCGGAAGACTTTGCAGTGCCAGGAAATAGTTGCCAGAACTGATGCACCGATGGCATTCAGCGCAGATATACCTAGATAGCGTTGCCTCTGTAAGCGTTCAACTTTGTTTAAGAATTATTATTCAATTAAATGTATTTTTGTTGGGCCCGCGGGCGGGCACACGAAACATCAAAAGACACTGCGGCGGGCACGCCCATTTGTAATTGCATTTTATTTTCACTGAAAAATCACACATAAATAATGGAAAAATAATGAAAATATTAGCTCTATTATGGCCTCCCGCCACCCCCCTGTAAGCCCCAGCAAATGGCACAACAATTGTGTTGCCCGAAAAGGCCAAAAAGTTTTACCCAATACAAAATGGTGTGCCAGCTGTCATCAAGGCTGCCCGAAGCCTTCCCCCCGCCCCCGTGGGAAGGGGTTACACTATGGGGTTTGGGGGCTTATGATGATAAGGAGGCGTGGCAGACTGTGGCAGACTGTGGCACTGTGTTGAAAGGCTAATTTTGCACACATTTTGAACTGTAAATGAAAGGAGGAGGAGGCACAAAATGCGTTTGTGGCTTATCATTTGGCTCCGATGATGAGAGGGGGTTAGACGGAGGGGGCGTGGCCGTGAGGGCTGGGGCACTGGGACTCGGCAATTTCATGGTTAAATGATTCAGAAAGAGAATTACGAAATTAGGCCGTGCCCCCTGGACTTGCGCTCACCCCCTGCTCCACCCCCTCCCCGTAAAACACAATGTAATTAACTTTTGCGCGACTGCTGCTGCCCCTTGCCCCCTGCTACCCCCTGCCCACTCAATATATTTGATATTTATTCTGTGGCACTCTCTGTGCCCCTCTGGGTGCACTTTGGGGCAAGACCTTAGCTCTCTTTCGCTCCGCTCGGCTCCGCTTTTTGGAAAGCAATTTGAAACAAATTTTATTGCCAAAGTTTTCGGGTGTGTGGGCTGCGGATGGGTGGTGGGATGGCCTGTGTGGAGAGCACATGGAAAATTGTTCAAGTGCCGCCCGCAAACAGAGGCGAAAACCATAGCAAAGACAAGCAGCACGAGAAGTTACGGCCTGATCCACAATTAGTTGAGGGCCTAAAAGTGTGTTAACAATTGGAGGATTTTACCCCTGGGGTGTGGAGCAGGAGATGCGGTAGCGGCAACGCCTGGCAGGTGGTCAGAAGATCGATGATGTCGACATTTGTTGGTGTCTCTTTTTGGTGTCTTTTTGGTGTCTCTTTAGGTGTTCTTTTATGTGTCTCTTTTTGTGTTTTTTGGTGTGTCTTTTTGGCCTGCTTTCGTTGTCTATTTGGTGTCGCTTTTTGGTTCCTTTTTGGTGTCTCTTTGGTGTCGCTTTTTGGTTCCTTTCTGGTGCATTCTTTGCTTTCTTTTTGGTAATTTTATTATGGTCTCTTTCTTGTCTGTTTTGGTGTCTCTTTGGCTTCTATTTGGGTGACTTTTTGGTGTCTTTTTGATGTCCATTTCCCTTTGAAATCTTCACAAATCTGCAATTGCAGCGGCTTTTTTTCTCTCCCAGTGTAACTGCTGCTTGCTCATTGATTAGACTACAAAACGAATGCAAAGTGTGTGCAGGCGACACTTGAATATCGTGTGGCAGAGGGAAAGTATCGTGCAACGTGCAACGGAAAGGGCAGCTTGAAGAACTTGTGCTGCTTCTTGCAACTGCTGACCCGAAAAAGAGAGAGCCAGAACGAGGGCCAGTACAATGGCCAGAAGGCCAGAGAGCAACGTTTCGCTTTATGGCCAGAAGGCGACCAGTGCGTATGCGTAATAAACAAAACAACTGCAGCAGGACTACAGCAGCAGCAGCAGCAGCAGCAGCAGCAATTGCCTCACTGCGTGTATCTGTATCTGTGCGTATCTGTGTTTGGGCTTTATTTAAATTTACAACCCAAGCATTCGGCACTGTTGAGCTTTTTGCTACGCACCAGAGCTGAATGCTGTGCCCCATGCTCCAGCCTGCCCATCTGGCCCACGTCCCTGGGTGCACATTGTGTGTGTGTGCCACCGTCAGTGTTTGGCGTTTGCCTCTGCTGAATAATAAATTGTATTTTGCGGCATTTAAAAGCAATTTTTTAACATTTTTCAATCTGAATGGATGAAGCGTCAGGCACACACACACACACACACAGACAATCATAAAGCACAACCTACAGGCCACAAGGGGAGGGAAGCAGGAGGAGCAGTTGGAGCAACAACGGAAGCTAAGAGACAGACACAGGGGCACACAGTTTTGTCTACCAATTTAGCAGTGAATTGTCCTGGGGATACTCTGGAAGCCAAGGCGCTGTCAAATCGTAGCAACAGCAAGCAGCAGCAGAGGGTGGCAAGGGGTGGGGATCAGGAATAGAGATGGAGAGGATGTGCCTGACCATTGTTGGCTTAGTCTCTTTTGGGGTAACATTTTCGGACTACGTCGACTGACTCCCTTTGCATTTAGTTAAGCTTCAAGTGAAGACAGCCAACGATTCGGCAGTGAAACAAATTGCAGCATTTAGGCAGCCCCTGCCCCAGCCACTGTCCTGTGCCTCCTGCCATTTGCAGTACAAGCACAAAAGTGGCAGACAAAAGCATTCTCGCAAATGCTCGTACTCGTCGTAGTTTGTGGGGCAAACAGTTTGCATAAACTTTGATTATGTGTGTAAGCCTCGAGGCAGAGTCGCTCGCATGTGTGGGCAAGAGCGAGAGAGTACAGAGAGCGAGCGAAGGAGAGGGAACTTCAGATCCGAGTAGGCCGCAGATTGGCTCTCAATCATTCAGTAAACAAAAACAAATGCTAGCAAACACAACACACAACAAATTTCAGAGTTTTTTAGTTTCCTAGTAACCAAATTTAAATTACTAATTAATCCCACAAATGGATCGTTTTCAGCAGCGTCGTCGCCAGCGGCACAAGCAGAATCATGGGTACGTGCCACCAAGAGAGAGCCATAGAGATCATTGCCTTGTCCCGCCTTTAGTTTCGTTGACAATATGCTCAAGGAGCTGCAGAAAATGTCTTGGGCACCCGGCTGCCGTCCCATGTTTGATTCCGTGCTGCTGCCCACAATGGGATTCGTTAAGGATGGAATTCGCTTCTACAAGCGCTGCCACAAGCCCGATCGTCGTGAGTTCAAGCGCACAGCCATTGCCGTCGGTGCGGGCATCCTTGTGATGGGTGCCGTCGGTTATCTGGTCAAGATACTGCAGATACCCATGATCCTCACTGCCTACACCACAGACCCGTGAGAGAAATGAGTAATAAAGTTGCACAGTTCATCCGATAGCAGCCGTCCGGGAGTGTCCTCGTGGCAGCGGGCCAAAAGCCAAGCTGCTTTTTGGCTTGAACCCCGAACCCAGAGAGAGTGTTGACAGGCGAGCAGAAAAAAAAAACACATTCGATGCTGCCAAAAAGTTTCCACTGCACCTTCTCGAAATCAGAGGGGGTGGAGGGGCATGGCAGGGCAGGAAGCGGCGGCATCGAAGAGTCAGATAAGCAGGCAGCGGGCGTCGTGTGGCAACCTCTCTGAGAGTGTCGTCGTTTTGGCTTGTGTCGAAGGTTGCCAGACGGCCCAAAAGCATTTCCAGCTTAAAGTCAAACTGTCAGAGCGTGTCCTTTACGCTGTCCCCTTTAGTCCCTGCCCCTGCGCCCCCCACAAAGTGCTGGCTCAGGGGCAGTCGAAGTTTTCCTTCCTCAAGTGTCAGCATTAAAGTTTCTAGCTTTTTCACCCACTCACAAAATTAGCTGCCGTTGCTTCTGTTTGCGGCTCTTATCGTTGCAGTTGCAGCAGGCAGCAGGCAGTAGCCAGAGACTGCATGGGGACTGCATGTTGCATGTGTCTCCATTTGCTCCGGCTGTTATGTTTTATTGATGAGTCTCGCTCAAACCAAAATTGATGATGCTCTCGTCCTGCGCTCGTTCTGCCGGCAAATGGCGCAAATTTATTCAAAACTTTTGTCGGTTGTTGCATCCGCTCAAAGCGGAGTTTGCCATGCAACAGGCAGTGCAGCAGCGCAGCTGTGGAATGCAACTTGATGGAGGAGATCCTGTGTCCTGCTTAGCTGCACCTGTGTTTATGAAGTCTTTTTGCTTAAGAGGCATGCAATGGAAGGCAGACACAAAGCCATGGAAACGGCGGGTGTAACGCAGTCACAGCATAAGACACTGCTTTATACAGATGGAGCTGTCACTGTCTCGCTCCCACTCCACTCCACTCCACTCGACCCACACACAAAGTCCTGGCAACCCAGTTACTTAGCCTGAACGAACGTACCTCCAGGGAAAACCTCAGACTCACACCAAACGAACCGAAAAGAACCAAAAAGGAGTGTGTCCTTAGCACTAGAAATTGTGTACAGCTGCACGAAATTCCACAGCAAATTTATTATGATGTCCTCGTTGTTGCTGGTGAGGGCAGAGAGAGAGAGAGAGAGCCAGAGTCGCTGGATGCTGTTGTGCAGCTTGTTTGAAGGAAATGTTTATCATTTTTGGACAAAAGAGAATGGGGATTCACAGGGACATATCGATTGTGGGCGTAATTTATCGATTGGTAGCTTGGCTGAGCGATTACTTGCGATCTTCTGCGATAATTGATCGATTACTGCTGTAATTGATCGATACAAAGGTGACATTTCATCGATTTCCAGCGTTAGACGTAGATTGCTTGCCTAATTTTTTGTGTAACTTTCTGTTGGATTTCGTTTGCCAGTTGCCAGCACCTGCAGCGTATCCTTTATTCGTGTCAGCCCTGTCGCTCTCCTGTCTTCTACTTCTCTTTTTGTTGCATTTTAATTAAAAGAGAAGTGAGGCCATTAATTTGCAACTACAAATTACACTCAATAAAACATGGGTCTGCCGCTGCTGCCACTGCCGCCTGACTGCCTCTGCCACACACTGATTTCCCGGCAATGTACAGATGGAGACAGCCATGGAGCGAGAGAGCGAGAGAGAGAAAGAGTGTGAGAGAGAGAGGAGAGCGAGTGGCAATCAATTTGCACTTTGACTACAATTACTGATTTTCGACACTTGAAAGGATTTTATAAATTGCCATTTGGCCCCCCAAAAAAAAGGACCTCTGTTTGGTGCTGCTGCTGCTGCTGCTGCTGCTGCTGCTGTTCTTTTGACTTTGGCAATTTGTTTTGGCCTTTTGCTTTTGCTCTGTTCTCTGGTGTCCCCGCTGCTGCATATGTGAGAAAGAGCCTTTCGGCCAGGCTTATGCTCCTTTCCTGTACAACTTTAATTAACTCACTTCTGTGCGACTTCTGTGGCCAAAAAAGGCAGGGCAGGGCTCTATCTGAATGGGGGGAAGGGTTAAGCACAGGAAGGGTTGGGCTTGAGTGTAGAAAGCAGTCGAAAACTTAAGTGATATTTGCTGGAATGGAAGTGGCAATTGGGTTACGCCTGAATGGCCGGCTTAATGGTGTGATGACAAACGAGAGGGTAAGGAATGATTGTGTGCTTAACAGATGTGCAGGAAGAGAGAGTGTGAGCTGCCCTCAAAGGATCTACAAAGCCATGGAACTACAAATGCTCCTTAATCACACTGAATCGTTGGTTTTTCGGCGTTGCCGCAGATCATCATAGCTATGCCCCACACCAACGACTTTGCCACAGCTGTTGCCTCACTCCCTCTGTCTCTGTCTCTGTCTCTCTTTGAAGCAATTTCCATGCAAAAAAGGCAGCCACAAGCATTGGCCATAAAGGCGGAAAACATTTTTACACATATGACTGACGAGTGACGACCTGACGACCTGACGCTGATTGCGTTTGTCACGTCCGCAGCATCGGGGGAAAAAAAACGAATACAAGAAAGAAACTGCGGCCCCGTGTGACGGCTAAGCGAAGCAGAAAGAGGGGCGGGCACCCCAGCAAATAGGCCATGGCAGGAGGTGAGGTGAGGTGTGGTGTGGGGCAGCGGCAGCGGCAGCGGCAGCAACCAAAAATTCCGAGGACACGCCATGACTTTGTTGCTGGTTGTTGTGGCTTGACTTTTTGGGCTGCCTGCCCCTCTGCAGCGCTCATGCTCTGTGCTCCTCGCACGTTGCCTGCCCCTCTGTGCACTTTTAATACCCTGTATTGGTAGATGGAAAAGCTGCGTATCGACAGCTGATTTTCGCAACAAATTTCCTCCCATTTGGAGTTTTTTTTGTAGCTAGAATATTTCCTAGAAACATAAAATATTTTCCCAGAATTATTCGAGGGTATACCCTATTCGTTGCACGTGTGTATCCTTTTTTGAGTGCGTTTTTTTTTTGGTCGCTTTTGCAACTGCGCCAAAAACTAGGCAAAACGGACGACAGCAGCAGCGGAATTGCAGTAAAATCGTCATCGATGAACTCGGCGACCTCTTTACGCACACACAACACAGGCACACATATGTCTGGTATGGGTCCAGCCAGCATTGCGTATACGTAACGTGCTGCATATGGAGTTGGTGGTTGCCCTGCCTTTGCATTCCGTTCCGGCGTTTCTCCGATTGTCGCAGTTGCGGCATATTTGCATAATTTAGCGATTGAATTTTATGCTCAGAAGCAGCCGTATGTATGTATGTACATGCCATACATAAATGCATACATAAATACGTACATACATGCATCAAACTGAAGCTGTAGGCTCTGCCATCCATTCTGGTTTTCACTTATTAATTAAATAATTTTTGTGTTGCATTTGCATGCTGGGGCAGCAGCAGAATGATGTTGCTGCCGTTAATGATCATTGGCTGCACAAGGGGAGTGCCACACAGGACACGAGCGACATGCGACATGCGACAATAATTGCATGCAACATAATTAAAGCCATTAAAGCACTTAAGCTGCCGGAAAACCCACGACATGGCCATACGGCAGGGGTGCACAGAGAGGAGCAAAGAGGGGACTGGCACTGCCACTGTCCAGAGTCATGTTTGCATATTGCATAATTATGATGAAACACACATTTAAATGCATTTAATGAAGCGCACTGAGGAAGCAAGCGCACGCACAGAAGGCCGAAACCCTCGCCCGAGCCCCGGCAGTGAGATTCGTGGTTTGAGCCCTTGGTTTTTGGGGTCAACCCGGGATTGGCAGATGGCTTATGGCCCTACCCTATCCCGCCATCAACCCAAAAATGCTTTTAACGTTTATTGGTTTTTGTATTAAATATGCTACGGGGGGGGTGGGGGGTTCGTAATATTTATAGACAGAGGTGTAGCGACGCACCATCAAAGGGCATATTTAAGTTCAAAAAGGGATACACCAGGGGCAGGGGCAGGGGCAGGGGCAGGGACAGGGCTGAACTACCAAATGAACAACTACATACATGGATGGATGGATCTATGGCAAATATTTTCAGCCTTTCCCCTTTCTATTTGAAGCCCATTTGTACACCCGAAAAGCAGCAAACGAAAATGTTTTCGGAGTGTCCCCAAAACTTGCTACAAGGAAATGCAATTTTAGTTTTTCAATTACAAAATTGTGTCCAGAAATGCAATTGATTTTGCCAAAAATCTTTCACTTTCCGTTTCCAAGATTCAATATTTGCAAATAAACAAAAGTCATTGAGGGAAAAGGCCGGAGTAAGAAAATTCGAAATGTTCGATTGGATTGCTTATTTTTCCTATTTTTGCTGTGTTGCTGTGTTGCTGTGGGTTATAGTTACTCTCTGTGGAAAGGCAATTGAGAGTTGAGTATTTGGATGCAGGATGCAGCCAGGATACATGATATTTTTCTAACCAAAAAACTTGTGAACTGCACAAATTATGCATGCAATTCAAGTGACATGATTTATGGGCCAAAAAGATTTACCCAAAAATATTTATGATGAAAACACGGTACCTCTCCCTCTCCCTCTCCCTCTCTCTCTGGCTCTACTATTTTTGTAGAGGCTCCCAAAACATTCAATTAAATCTCTGCTCTGCTCGCCCTCTCTGTGGGTTTTAAATTGTCTTTTCCCATTTTCTATTTACACTTTGTGACAATTTTTAACGCGTCAAACAGTTCCATTTGCCAGGCCAGGCCTTTCGGCCGTTTCATCTTTCTGTTTCATGTGGCTGCCACAAATGCTGCACGAGGCGCACTTCCCGTTTCCTGTTTCGCTTTCGAAACTCTCTCTCTCTCGGTGCCAAGGCGAACAGGAAGAAGATTTTTCGGCTTGGCTCGAGCAGGAAGCTGCAAAGTTTTGTGTAGCAAGTGCCAGGCCCACGGAGGGGAGTTTGGGCTTCAATTTTGGCTCAAGTGGGGTCCCCCCATAATTGACACATTATCAGTGGATGTCCTTTGGCTTCAGCTGCCACCTGCTGCTGTTGGGGGAGGGTTTTTTCGAACGCGCCTGAATAAAGTTTCAATTACGCGCGCATTTCCATGGACTCTCTGTCTGTCTGTCATGCCGCGCGTGGATTAAATATTTATTAAGTGCATTAATGGGTCACACTTGGGGGAATGTCCAAGCGTTGCATGGAAGGCTGTGCTGCATGAAGGAAACTCTGGCTGGTAATCACAGAGGATGAAACACCTCCATGGCGCACTCTCTGGATGGGAAAGGGTATCCATGAAGGCAGTGAAGAAGCCACAACAATTATAATTATTTATTATGCCACAGTGTTGCCATTTGCCAGTGTCTTTTGTCTCTCCTGCTGGCGCCCATCTCTGTGGCAGTCACCTCCACCAACCCCCCTGTTATGGCACACTCTGCAAACGAAAGCGAAACGAAACTGTCGCGGGAGTTGGCCATAAATCATTTATGCAACAGACACACACACACACACACACACACACACACACACGCATGCTGCAAAAGGGTATACAAAGTGGCATAAATCAACTTACAGTCACCCCCCGCTCCAGCTCCAGCTCCGAGAGAGAGTGAGAGAGAGAGAGAGATAGAAACGTGCCTGCAGTCATATGCAGAACTTGCAACAAGAGGGAATTTTTTGGTTCTGTGAAGAAAAAACTTACGCGTTTCGCTTTGGCGCCTTGTCTTTGCTTTTCCCCACCCCGCCCTGAAAACTTACCCGTGAATTTTCCACCCTTTGGCATTCCGGCTTGCACCTCACTTCCCCCCGTGTCAACTACTTTGAATGCATGTCAGTGCCTTGGGTGTGTGTGTGTGTGTGTGTGTGTGCCTTTTGATAAGCGTTCTTTTGGCTCCGGGAAGAGGGACAGGCAGGCAGCTTGTCGATGCAACAGCCAGGACCCGAGCATAAGCTCAAGCAGCAACTGTGAAACTGAACCTGAAGCTCAAGCTGAAACGCTTTGCAGCGGGAACCCCCTTCTCCTTCTCCTTATCCTTCTCCAGCAGGGCAAAAGTTGAGCTTCTTCTCCTTCTGCTTTTTTTTCGCCAGTTTTTGCTCGTTTCGCGGCACTTTATTGGCAGTTGCTGGCCCAAAGTACGCGACTATGCAGCACAGTGTAAGTTTTCTCCCTTGAATTTAATTTCTGACACGTGTACGAGTATGTGTGTGTGTGTGTGTGTGTGTGCTGTGACCTGAGGGGGAGGCGTGCTAGTGCCGCGTGATTAGATTGCCACATGAGGGTGCCACATTGCCTTGGAGGGTGGTGCACTTGCAGCAGCTGCTTTTGTTTGGTGCCAGCGAAAAATATGAAGCGAAAACTTTTCATCGGAAAATACTTGCGTGTATGTGCATAAAAGAAAATTGCTTCTAGATATACACAGATACAGATACAAGCTTACACGTGTGTGTGTGTGTGTGTGTGTGTGTGCGGCATTCGGGAGAGCTTGTTAAGAAGTTTTTTCTTTTATTCCAGGGATTTCGTTAGGGATCTGCTTTCGGGCAATGCCTGTGAATAATGCAAAGTCAATGCAAAATATTAACTAAAAATACGAAAGTTTCCCCTAAAAAAGGCCCCAAAGAGGTGCAAAATTACAGCACAGAATATGCACAAAAATAGTTATAAATATTTTTATTGTTCAAAAATTTGATTTATTTTATTTTTTCTTTGTTTTCATTTGGGAACGGCAAGGCAGAGCGCTGTTAAAACTAGTAAAACAGGGTACTAAATTAAAGCATATAATACTACCACCTCCAGAGTTGATAGCAGTGTACATAAAAAACAGAAAAACAAATTATTTTTTTTAAATAAACCAAAAATATGGTGGAAGCTTCAGCTCATACCAATTTTTGGCTCGACTATTGACTGATCCCTAAAGAACTTTAGCATGATATTTACTTGTTATTTATTTATAATATTACTTAGTATTATTTATTGCTTACTGCTTTTATTTCTTATAATTTCAGCGTTGAAGAAATCGCTTCTAAAAATTACTTTTGCCGGTGAGTGGTTTGTTGTTCTCTTTTACATTATGAGATTTTGTTACATATTTTGTTTATATTTTGATTTACAATGTGCAACATTTTGGCATAATTTCCCTCAACTCTTGTGCTGCCCCTGCGGCTGTGTCGCATTTTTTTTCGCAATTTTCGCTGAACATTTTCTCATTGGCCTGAGGGCTGCTGCTGCGCTCTTTTTTCTTTGCTTGTTCGTGCGTTGTGTTCCTTGTTGTTTGGGTTGCACAGCAAACGATTTGCACGTATGTTTTTCCCGAACATCCGTCGATTTACAAAATTATAATTGCAACCACAGTCCACAGTGAGCGACAGAGAGAGAGAGAGAGAGAGAGAGAGAGCTGCAGCCCCAGAGCCACGTTCTTGCTGCACTCACGGGGGGGTGCTGTGCTCAATATGGGGTTCATGCCACGTTTACAATGCACTTCCGCCCCATTGTTGTTTTGCATGTTGACATGGCAGAGGAGCCAGAGGCAGAGCCAGCGCTAGGGCCAGCGCCAGGATTCAGAAACAGGAGCCAGACATATTACTCATACGCCCCATAGTCGGTGCTGCCGCTGCTGTGGCGGCGTACGAGGTGGCAGCGCGGAATCGTTGCTGCGTGTTGACAATCATGGGATCTCCTTTTTTTTTATTTTTCGTCTGCCTGCCCCACTAATGTGCCACGCCTTTCGGGAAGTGTGTGTCTGTCTGTGTCTGTGTGTGTGTGTGTGGAAAGCGGAAAAAGTTGAACTGACACAATCGAAAAGGGGAAGGGAAGTGAAGGGAAGGGAAGGTAAGCGTCAGAGCCAGTCAAGTGTGCGGCTCGTCTTTTCTTTCCACACCTCCCGTGTAACAGTAACAATAGCAGTGGCAGCAGCTTGCAACAATGCAACATGACAACTTCCGTTGCATTCTGCCGCCTGCTGCGGGCACAAAAGAAACAGAAACACAGAAACACAGAAAGAAAAAAAGAAACAAACAAATCCTCGAGAGTGAGGGGGAAAAGCGCGTGGAAAACTGTAACGGAATCGCATTGTGTAAGGAAATATGTTTTTTCCTGCAGCCCCACAGCAGAGGAGTGCCAGCAGCCAGCGATCGATTAGGAGAAGGAGCTGTAACTAGATAAATGCCACATGTATCTAATAGATATAAAGTAAATCAATCTCAAGTCTCCCACCCTGCACCACGGGGATTGGAAAATGTAATTAATTTGATGCCAGATTCGCTGGCCTGCAATTCCATTTAATTATGCAAATCAAACGACCCTTAACCCCACCCTGCGCTTATTAATTACTGTCCACTTTTTGGCGACTGCTATAGGTCGGAGCTACCCTCGGGGATGTCCATGTACTCCTCCTCCTCCTGCTGCTCCTGCTGCTCCTCCTCCTCATAATCGATGACGGAATGATCCGCCTTGGCTCAGGGCTCTGCATCGGCAGCCTCCATGCAGCTGCTAATCTTCAGTGCCGTCTCCCCCGTGGCATTCAGCAGCTGCAGCTCCATGCGACCCGCTGCATCGAGCCACTGGGCAGTGGGTGGCTGCCTCAGCAGCTGACAGCGAATGTTGCACTTGAGCTTGTACTTGAGCTCCACTTGCGCTTCGTTCAGCAAGTGCCCGAGATTCTCGTCGCTCTCAAACGTTTCGTACTCCTCAGAAAGGTGAAGGGATGGCGGCCCTGTTGGCAGACTCAGTCAGGGATTTAGCTAGAGATATTCATGAATTCCCACCTGAGCGAGGCCTAAGCTGAGGGCCAAGATCAATGCGAGCTGACTGCTGGGGCACATGGCTAAAGTGGAAAGTGGAACTGAACTGCAGTCTAGATTTACAATAGAAAAAAACACTTTTGCTTTTGCTCAAAACCAGTTCCATAAATGATTATTCATTGCTCTCTGACTGTGCCGCTCCCTCCACCCCTGCTGACTCATCGCTGCCCTCCAAATGATCCGATACACAGAGCAATATGCTAAAGGCATATTCACAGGCATCCGCCTGGGCCTGCTCATCGTGCGTCCGCTTGCAGCTGTCCAGTGCCTGGCGATGTTCATCGCTTAGCGGCTCCATCGCATCGATCTTGGCCACATCCACCAGCCCGGCACTGTCCAGAATGTTTGCCTTGGTGGCCAAACAGTGGGCAAAGCACTTGTATTTCCTATCCAAATTCTCGAGATCCTCCTCGGAGCTGCTCATGTTGATGCGTGACTGGAACTCGACTTGGCTGATGTTATTCGTGGTGAGGCAATCGTCGACCAAAGCGGACTCATCCAGCGCACCAGGCAGGCACTAAAGGAGTTGGTTTTTAGAGCAATTTATTGTATTACTATTACTGGCAGCCAGCCAGACGTACCTCCGTGAGTGGAGCAACCGCCAGCAGCAGTGCCACAACAACGATCGCCGTACAATGCAACATTTTGACTCGTTGGCTCAGGGCGAGCAACTACTTGTTGGGTTTAACCAGATCTCTGGCTATATATACGACTCTTATCTTTACAATCGCGAAGCCAACTAATTAGCTTCTAGGGAGGAAACTCGTTAGCGGGCGAACAAAAAGCAAAAACCTGAAACTCTCGTGCATTTAATTGTGTGGCGGCTGCGGAAATCTATTTCGAACTATATAGAAAACACAATCTCTCGCCGGCATCCCATTGGGCGGTTTAGTCACGAATGATTGATTGAGGGTCATTCATTTTCCCACTCAAAACTCTGCATTTCCCTTCTCATTTTCCACTCTGCAGCAATTGCACTTTTTTCCCTGCTTTTCTTTTTTGCGTTTTTATACGCAGTGAAAAATTTCGCATAAAATTTGCCTGTCAACGTGTAGGTAGCGTGTGAATATTTGTGCAACTCTTTTGCCGTCTCGCTGCCCGAAAATGAAGCGACAACTGCGGCACGAGTGGCGACAAATTGGAGCTGACAGCCAAAAGGGGCGCACGCGATGCGTTGGGTGTGCCGTGGAATTTGTAACCATGCGAAAAACTCTAGACAACAAATGAAAATTCCAAGAAATACTCGGCAGGGAGGCTTTTCGCTCTCTCTCTCTCTCTCTCTTCCTCTGGCTTCCACTTGCCTTCGTTTATTTACGGCCTTGCTTTGCCACAAGAATTTTCCTATGTTTTGGTGCATATTTTGGCCTGGGGCCAACAGTGCAAATATGTGTGCTGTGGAAATTGCATTTAAATGGTCATCTATGGGAGGTGCTAAACTGTGTCCTCTGCCCACTCTGTGTGCGTTCATTTCCAATGCATTTCCATCGCATCCATCAACTTATCAGGGAAATAAGGTAGACACTTTAGACATCCCTCTCTGGGTATAGGTCCAATGCTAATTAGAGAGGAATATGAACTGAAAGTTCATTGGTTTTTTTTTGGCATTTGTTTGTCATTTGGGGGCAACCGTTGCTGCTGGAGAGTGCTTATAATATATTTTTCCATTGAAAGGCTCTCTAGAGGGTCTTAAGCTTCTTATTTAAACATCATAAATCTACGCAGAAACACTCCACCTCGGGTAGACTTTATTGCAACTTATTTTGCTTCCACTTATTTTCAGTGTTCTCCTTTACTGCCGCTCCCTTGTGCTGGTTCCAACGCATATTTCATCTAATTTAATGTCTTTGGATGATATTATAATAAACATAGCTTTAGCTTAGCGAGAAGTTTACTTTTCTGCCACCAAAAACTTCATGACAAAGTTGTGCCACACGCAAAAACCAAAGTTGGCGCTGCTTCCCCTTTGTTTTTTTTTTGTTTGTTTTTTGTGTAATAAAAATAAATAGTCCGACGACTTTCCAATATGCATGTCACGTATTTTGCATGCACTTTGATGGCAGAGCCACGCCCTCACACACACACACACACACAGTCATGTGTGGCACCTGGCATCCAGGGAGCAGACAGAGAGACAGCGAGAGAGAGAGAGAGAGAGAGAGAGATGGCCCTGCAGTGCCCTGCAGCGTCTGAAACAATGGATAATGCAACAAATTAATTGGTCAAAATTTCAAAGGTGGGGAGGGGACGGTGGCAGGTGTCTTCTTCAGGTTGCAGCCCCAGCGGCAGGTCCATTTCGGGGGACAAAAGGACACACTAAAGCAGTTTACATTTATCAATTAGTACGAAATGGAGACCAAGGCGAAGGCAGTGGCAGAGACAGTGGCAGGATGCTGTCTTCTGCTGGAGCAGACCAAGCCAGCTGCCAAGAGTTCATTGCAATAACAGTTACCGGAGGAGGCGGTGGGGCGTTTGTTCTGGGAGCCACTGAAGTGTGAACTGCTGCAAAATAAACAGAGAACGAGAGAGAGAGAGATGGAGATGGAGATGCAGCGGCAAAGCCAAGACAAACTCTACTCCCAGCCCGCTCCACACTCTCATCCCCCTGCCCTTTGCCTCGCCCGTTGGTAATTACAAAATTTTTAATTAAATGTTAAGTGTGGAATGCACCACCCTCCGCCGCCCTCCTCACGCCCTTTAAGCACTCATAACTATAAATGCGCACGAAGCAGAGCTTTAAGTTCCACTCCAGGACGACGTTGATGACTTGACACTCGTCCCGCTCCGCGTCTATGCCCAGAGCGGAGTATGAAACTATCTGCCAAAAGGACCACAACGAAACGGACTTTCTCTCTGGTTATTTTTTAACAACTTTCCGTGCGATTTTCACGCCTCGCTGCCCTACCTCGGTGACAATTGTGTGCACTGCCGCCAGAAAGACGGGACATCCACACGGTGTCCATTGATTCGGTGACTCAAATGAAGAAGATTAGAGACTGAAATCTTACAAAAAAATATTATTTTGGTTTGAATTTTGGAATGGAAAGTAGAAACCTTGAAAACAGACTGCAAATGACTCGAATTTTATCCAAGAAAACAAAAGCTTTCCTGCTCTGAGCTTAAAAATCAACGGAGACTCCTCTTGAAAGGGTACAAATTTCGCACCTAGAATTGCCAATTCATTTTCTATAATTATAATTGTTGCTCATTGAAAGGAACCTCTGGAGTGAAATCAGCTTGTAGGAAAGTGCATAAATCTACGGGGACTTTCTCGGATTTGTAATCATTTTTTCGCTCTAAATTTAATCAGTTTTAAGACAAAATTTGTTCCTCTCTTTATTGAACCAAAGAAAGTGCTGAAAGTGTATGCCCATATTCGTATATACCGCTCTTAAATGTACTTTTATGTATCTCTGGACGGACACACCTTTTAGGCTTTGGCTTTGGCTTTGGCTTTGTCGATGGTTGAGGAGAGCTTAAAGTTTGAGCTCAGTGCCCACGCCGCTGCCTCTCGTGTGTGTGTGTGCGGAATAGTTTTACTTTATGCGCCAAGAGGAGGGGGGTAACGTTAACTAAAAATAAACCGAGTGTTAAACGTGGGCTAACAACACACTGGCCGTGGCCATTCCCCCTGCCCCGGGTCCTTTCTCTTTCCCATTTTATATTGAAGATTCGTGAGGCGTGAATAATCGCATTAGTTGCGAAATTAAAAATTACAAAATAGAAAATAGAATAGATAAATCCGCCCACGGCTGGGTGGATTTCCCCCCTACCCTTTTTTGTGCGCTTGTATGGGCATCCTTATTTATAAGGATTTACTGCTAATTGAATTGTGTCCGTACAGAAAAAAAGAGGAGAAGGCAAAGACACACAAAGACAAAAGTGGCGGGAGAAGGCAAAAGGCGGGAAATAAGTTAAGCCAATGCATAAAACTTAATGTCCTGGAAGTTTGCGGGCCTTCGCACAACTGTTAAGTGGGTCAAAGGTGACCCCTTGGTGTAGCAATTAATGTTCCATATAAATGTATCAAGTATCAGCGCTGCCACGCGTTGTTTTATATCAAATCTCATGGCAGCAGCAACAGCGAGAGCAAGGGAGACAGCTGCCCAAAGACAGACCGAGAGCGAGAGCGAGAGAGAGTGAGAAATCAATTTATTTTGTATGGCTTTTGTAAGGTTTCGAAATGATTTTCAATTGTTGAGTTGCATTGAAAATTGCAACAAGGAAAAGCAAAAAGCAATACTTAGAGGAAACTCAATCGTCTTATGGATGCTTATTCTCGCTCTTTTCGCTCTTCTCTCTCTCTCTCTGTCTCTTGCTATCTCTTTCTTTTTGTCTCCTTATTTGCTCCTCTTTTTTCTGCTGCCTTTTTATTGTATCGCTTTTGAGCTTCATAATCCGATTCTTTTTACCCTTTTGAATTGTGGGGTCCATGACTTCACCTTTGACCCCAGGCGTCTGGCATATTGTGTATTCAATTCCGCAGCGCTTAAGGTAACCCTTTGTTCCCCTTAACCCCTGCCACCAGCCACCTGCAACTGCGACTGCGACTGCAACTCCGACTGAGTGGCGTGTGGCAGAAGAACAACACTCATTACTTGAGTGCTGCCGCTTGACTGGGCTGGCTTGGGCTCGCTTGCAGCACTTTTTGTGGCAATTTTCGAGTGCGCTTTCTACAGTTTTTAACTTGCAACAACAAGAGTCAAGTGCTGCTGCTGGTTGCTGCTGCCTTTCTTTCGTGCAGCATGCGCCAGGTGCATATGTGTGTGCTGCAAAGTGCCGCACAAAGCGTCATTGATGCTGACGTTGATGTTGCTCTTGCTGTTGCTTCTGTAGTCAAGCTGCCACTTGTCACATGGCAACAGTTTAGTTTTCCACTCACCCACACACACACACACACACACACACACACTTGAGGCGGGTGCAAGTGGCGGCTCAAGTTGCACTCTCACATAACGGCAAAACGGAAATCAAGGCAGTGCAGCAGCCCCGTCGCCGTCGCCAAATGAATGCAACACGAAAGACGAGACAGGCGCAACGGTGACGCAGCCACCCAACCCCCCTTTTGAGTCTTAGCTTGTGTGGGGGCAAGGTGCATTTTTCGATAAATAAATATACAAATAATTGACTTTAGAGGAAAGCAATCAGCAAAAACATTTGAGCACTTTGGACTCTATTTTTGGACCCATTTTTTGTTTCATTTTTGAACTTTTTTTGCACTCGAATATATTTTGGGACTCAACTGAACTCCATTTTTGACTCATTTTTGAATACCATTTTTGGCCTCAATTGAAATGAATCTTTGTGGAAATTGTTGTCAAAATTCGTGTTGTTGTTCATTACTTTATTGGAACTTGTATTAGACACACCAAACAAAAAAAAAAGTATCTATCAAAATTGTATAAGTTATAGATTTATTCGAAGGATTTTTGTTTTGTATTTTGTCACTTTGTTGTTGAAATGCGGCTTCATTTTCTGGTGCATTGCCTGTGGGCGGCTCTACTTGTGGTGGTAAGTGGAGTCTGTGGACTCTGATGTATCCGCTTTTAACTTGCCACAGTCACAGCTCTCGAGTAGAGGATATGCACGAAGTTTGCCAGCCCACGAGACGCTGCCATTATCAGTCGAGCAGAAGATGAAGATTCCAACTGGCAGCGGCATGAGGCACGAGCCTGGTACAGCCAGAGGGGCAGCCATCGCTGTGGGTTCAACCAGGGGCAAAAGCAACTCCACTGCGCTGACCGGACCGGAGTCCACGATGCTTGTGGCACGAACAGGAACAGGAGCAGGAACAGAAGGAAGTGCTGGCAATGGCACCGCCGCGGGTACAGGCACTGCGATTGCCACTGGTAAAAGCACTGCGATTGCCACTGGTAAAGGCACTGCCCCCGGCGGCCCCTCCGTTGTGAGGCACATTCTCCGCAAGCGTGAACTGTATGTGGATACACCGTACGACTTCCACACGACTCACTTGTTCTGCGACATGGACATTCGGAACAGGCACCTGATCATCTGGTTCTTTCCCAATCACTGCATTTGGGTGTGGAACAACAAGTACGTCCACGAGGGCTTCTACCGGCTCTACAAGATGTATCAGTTTGAGGGCTTCATATTCGGCCAGTACAACATTCGGCTATTCCAATGGGAGTTTGAGAGTTTCTATTTTGGCTATGTCTGGTCAAAATTGATCCCGCCAGAACTGGATTAAATATTTATATATTTGTGCACGCTTCACCCTAGACTATAATTATTCCAATGAAGCAAAAACGATCATGCAGTTACTTTCACTTGCTGGGTTGTATCTGTGAGTCGGGAGTCGGGAGTCGAGTGTTGTTCCACTGCTCCTGCCACACTCCTGCCACACTCTGTCGAGACACAACACTTCGGCTCTCAGCTCTCTGCCTGCTCGACTCCCAGCTGCCACAATGTTTGTGTACATGTGTGCAGTGTTGCATAAGCTGTAAGAATAACCTGTCGTCTTGTTGCAGACTCTACTCTACTCTACTTGCCACTTGCCACTTGCCACTGCCACTGCCACTCCTGTTTCTGGCATTGGCAAATATTTAGTTTCGATACGTTTGCCTTTGGGCCAAACTCATTTAGATGCAAATTTTTGGTAGCCAAGACGCTGTCGCAGGGCAAAGTGCATCGAATGCATAAAGTTTAATAACTACCAGCAAGTATTTAGACTTTGTGCTAGTCAAGGGGCGTGGGAGGCGTGACGGAGGCAGCATAAACGGAACAGATTAAACGGCAACTTCTGTGTGTGTGTGTGTGTGTGTGCCTGCCCTGCCCTGCCCTGCCCTTGCACACCTTTTTCTGAGCTGCCACAGATTTATGTGTGCTTCAAGCTGACCAACAGCAGTAGGATCCAACCCACAGACTGCTTCCACTTTGACATTCAGCAGCGTTCCCCTTTCTCCCCCGTTTCCCCGCTTCGAGATAATGCTCTCGATCCGTTGGCACCTCTCTTCAACGCTCTGCCTGCTGCCTGCTGTCCTGCTGCTTCCTGATTCCTGCCTCTCTTTCTCTTTCTACTCATGACAAATGTTTTTGTTTACCCCAACATAATTCTTTTGTGATTGATGTCCTGTTTCCCCCACACTTCTCTCTGCGTGTGTGTGTGTGTGTTTTTTTTTTGTTTGCATAGGCAAGAGGCAAGCTAGACTCTGTCATATGTGTAGGTGCACCTCTTTGTCGCCCTGCCTCCTGTGGCACTTGTAATAATTCGTTGCCAGAGTCTGGGTCACTTTCTGAAGGTGCAACAGCAGCAACAGCAGTGGCAGTGGCAGCAGCAGCAGCCTTAGCTCAAGTGTTTTCCCTGGCAGTGGCGAGCAGCAGAGTCGAGAGTGGAGCACTCCTAAGGGCGCGACTGTTGGTGAAATATTTATGAGAACGGATGGAGAAAGGTGGAGCAGGGCAGGGGCAATGCAGGACAGCCTCTCTCAGCGCTCCTTCATAACTTTCGAGTTGCAAAATTCACTCTCAACACAGAGGAGCCATCAGAGTGGAATAAGTGCAACGATACGGCTAAGGATGCGGATCCTAAGCTGCAGTAAAATACTCATAATATGCATTTCCAAACAAGTTTCCAGCTGAGAGAGTTCCCCATTAAATAATATGCTAAATAATTACTGATACAGGGAAAGGGCAAATAAAATGCGGGGCTGCCTTAGTGGAGAATTCTAGAAGGGAAGAGCCAGTTATCAATCTAAAATAGTTGCGGTGGCACTTGGTGGAGATTTTAAGAATATTTTGCACATAGAAAGAGCTTTATTTGTCTCTTTAATCTTTGAGTCTTCGAGGCAGAGAATAGTTCCATTAATTATGATGTTTATCTCTCAGAGAAGTACTTCCCCAAATCATCGTCGTCAGATCAACAGTTGAGCAGCTGACAGAAAAAGTTTTTTTTGCAGGGGATTAGAACCGTAAAGTAAAGTATTTCTCTTCTTATTTCTCTGCTCCTTTACCTAAAAGAATATAACGTTTAGTAGAAGAAATAATTCACGCTCCTTTCACATATTTTTGGTGCTTAGTCAGAGAAGCAATTGAAAATTCAGCGAATCCAAAGTTGTGTCTCTCTCTCTCTGGCCCTCACTCTGTCTCTCTGTCTTTCTGCACGAATTTGGCAAAAGAAATTGAAATTGCAGGCAGAACGAAGTGGCTGTCAAAGTGCCTTTGCCTTTCAGCCTGATAATACGCCAGCCAACAATACACACATCAAATGAATGAAGGAATGACTTGGGCAAAGCTTGTGTCCCGGACAGGCCAAAAGTTAATTTAAAACTTGTGGGGAGACACCACCAGCAGCAGCATTCATTCCCCCCCCAGAGATATATCCGCAGTGCAGTTTTCCCCACTTGAAAAAGTTGTTTAAGATTTTGAATCAATGTGCGAGTGGCGCATCTTTTAAGAACTTGAACAATCAGCAGCCATAGGGACACATATTAACCATATAGTACAGACCCTTTACCTGCATAAACTTTAAGGCATGCCTTGGCATAAATTGAAGGCACATTTCCGCGGCAATCTCGAAAGGCAGTGGCTTTCCCTTTGCCTTTTCCTTCACCCTCTCCTCCAGACCCCTTTGGTTTTCCCTAAGCTGTTCAAAACAACTGACAACCGCAGAAGTAGTGCGACTTTTAGTGCGCTGCTGGCTTCCGCTGCGGGTCCCACCCTTCCCCTGCCTGCTGCCACTTGCCACTCCCTTTTTCTGGGACGTAACTTTCGTTCGCTTCCGGCGACAGCCGCCTCCCGTCCTGCTCGTCTCCGGCAGTCCCCGACTGACGACAGTTGTTGAAAAGCCAGAGGAGTCCTGACGGAGGCGCTGCCGCTGCCGCTGCCTCGATGCCGCTTTAGCTTCTGGCTTCTGTTGTTGATGTGCATTTGGCACTTGTTGTAATTGCTCAGCCTTTCCCTTCGCTGAAGCAGGAGCAGGGTGTGCTGCTCATTGAATAGTTCTCCTGCCGCTGCAATGAGGCTTTGGACGCGCATCAAAGTCGCTCTTGGCCCTGGGCAGTCGCAGTCGCGGTCGAAATTTATTACAAAATTCCATTAGCTCCCCACGGTCGCAGCTTCTGCTTCAGCGTCAGCTTTGGACATTGTTCGCAGCCGCAACAACTATGCAAATAAGCTGGGAATTTATTATATAATGAGCCGCGGCGCTGCAATCCTCGCCTGATGTTGCACTTTCAGTGTGGTCGGAGGACAGGTACCATCAGCACGGCCTAATTCTTTTGCGCTTGAAAGCTTTTTGGTGTTTTGCAGAGGGGGAAAACGCAGGATTACGCATAATTTGTGAGTGTCAAAAGGGGAAAGAGAGAGGACAGGCTTTGGGGAGGGATTCTTCCACTGAATTTTGTATTTGTTAACCTTGTTTATAGGCCCTCTTGCACATATCTACTTGTATTTCATATTTGTTGAACTCTGCACCCATCGCCCGTTGCATTTTTCCATTTTGCATTTGCAGATTTTGCATTTTCTTTGCTTTTCCTTTTGTTTTTTTCTGTGTGTTTCCTTTGTTATTTTTACGTTTTTCCTTTTGAAATGAAGTGCAATTTATGCGAAGCAACAAAATGCAAATAATTCCAACGAAAAATTTCATTTTGCATACACAAAAGATTAACCCATTGAAACCCCCCGGGGGGCGGTGGCGGTGGCGGTCGCGATGGGGTTAAACGGCTGTAAGCAGCAAGTGTCCGACGGGTAAATTCCCAACGATTAACCCCCCAGCCCCGCCACCGATATGCAGAGCATGAAGCGGGGGCGTGGGTTGTATGCTGCTCAATTTATGCATCAGCAGCAGCAGCAGCAGCATAAATAACTGAAGAGAACCAAAAGGAATGCCCAGCTATGGCTACCCTTTTTGGGTCAACGATTTGTACTTTAGGGGAGATCTTTAGGGGTGCTGCTGTGCAGTTTCCCACTGCTGATCGTGATCCGAAATGTATATCCAAATGTAAGCTGCACTTTTTTTCTTGCTGTGTAAATCAGTCACAGCCTCGGTCATGCCCTCTGACATACCCCCCAAAGGGCAAAGAAGAACTGCAATTCGTATTTATATGGTCATGCGGCCCTCCAGCTGTGGCCTGCCTCTGCCTCTGCCGCTCCCTCTCCCACTCTCATTCTCTTGCATTCTCTCTTTCGCTCACTCTCTCACTCTCTCATTGTCTCGCTGTGTGGCATGCGTGGCATGCATAAATTCGTAACTTGACCGCTTTTAAGTTGCATAAATTCTCGAATCCAAAGTGTCAACAGCACAAAATGCTGTTGTTGATTGTTTTTCTTGCTGGCTGCTGCTGCTGCTGCTGCTGCTGCTGTATGCCTGCCCTCCAGGGTGTCTACTGCTACTTGTCCGCCCTCCCACCCGCCAGCAGCCGCCAACTGATGGGTCATTGGGTTGATGATAAGCTTCACGCGTTGGCTGGACCATTGTTCCTGCCTCTCTGTATGTGTCTGCCTGTCTGTCTGTGTGTGTGTGTGTGTGTGTGTGTAAGAGAAGAAAGATGGCCGCTTTGATCCGCGTTGATATCAGAGGCCACACCACTGCTGCAGCAGCTTCGGCTCCAACTGCAGCTGCAGCGTCAGCAGCGGCAGTAAAAAAAAAAACGGTTGAAAAATGTATGAGACCAAGGGGGGGTAGGGCATCGGGTGCATTGTGTGGATTATGCGACAACTGCAGCAGGCAGTGGGCCACCGTTCGACGTGTCAGCAGTCTGTGGCGCCCCCCAAGCCACCAAACCGCCCAATCCTCTTCAGACATGCAGCTGGGCAGCAGGGGAACGGACAATGGCCATCATTTTTTTCCCACTTAGTTCCGCGTTTAGTTGCCCCACACACACACACACACACACACACACGCACCTTTCTGTGGCATCATTGTTAGCCTTGAATGTGGCCACATGAGTGTGGGGCAGGGCTTTGGTATTGGATTTTGCTGTCGATAAAGTTCTGTGACTCTAATGGGAATTAAAGGGCAAGCAAATAACTTTCGGCAATGAAAGTGAGAGAATGCTGCTGGATTTAGTGCAAAATAGTTACTAAAATCCCTTCACCATCCAATATTCCATGTTTTTTCGGTTGATCAGATGAATGAAGCTTCAATTTGCCTTTCTTTGTGTATTTTTAACGATTTTTAAGGCTGAAATTAAACGGAAAATCAGCTGAAAATTCAATTCCCTTGGTGTTGTTGTGGTGTATCCTTTATAGATGCAGATCTGCATCGCTGCAACT